CCACTTGGATGGACGGTCGGAGATTGAACGTCGACCTGCATGAAGCGAGACTGTCGCTCTACCGTCCAGCCCACGTGGTTGGGCGGTGTGGGGGGGGGGGGGGGGGAAGAACTAACATATAGTAATGAAGTGGCTTAAATGTGAATTTTCCAATTTTTGTGTACGCCTTGACTCTTGGATGGTGTTAAGTCATACCTACAACACGTGTATCGTCACCATTAACACGTCGCAGTATTATATGCCATCAATTCGAACGTAAAATTTTCGTTGACAGTGAAATGAAAATTTCCCCCTTGCAATTCTGACGTTTCCTGGGATGAATGACTCTGGGGTCTCTTGTAAATCCGGCGGGTTCATATACATATGCATATATATCATATATCATATAGCATTCATATATCATATACATATGCGACGAGGGACCAGATTCACGAAGCAGTTACGCAAGTACTGACAAACGTATACATCTTTCCTCAATCTTTGATGACTTTGGTTGAATTTATTAAACAGTTTACAAGCATGAAAACTTACCAATCAACTGTTGTTATTGTTATAAACAGCCTCCTGGTGCTTCGGAGATCATTTACTGTTTAATAATTGCAAACAAAACCGCCAAAGATTAAGAAAAGATGTACAGGTTCGTAAGTGCTTGCGTAACTGCTTCGTGAATCTAGCCCGAGGTTCCTGGTTCCCGACTAACACAATATTCAACTGATCTTTTGATTAGATTTGCAATCTTGGCCCAACCAGTAACAGTAACACACTACATGTCTAGAAGTCGGAACACACTTAGTCTGTCTGCTATCCTCTGTTATATGTCTGTAAGCATGATAATAGTACTCTACTGGTTGTTAACACATAAGGGAAAACAATATTTCTGTGACATGCAACATGACAAACAGCATTACTGCGACATACAGTATTACCATGACACAGCATGACAGCATAATGAGCATGCTGTCGGGCTATGCAGCATCAAAACACACGGTAAATACGCATCAGTATTATAAATTATCCCCACAAGAAGGTATCATCCAGCTGATCTGATTGGATGCACTAAGACCGAAACAAGATCTGATTGGATACACTAAGCTCAGGACGTAATCAGCCCAGTTTACCAGTACCGAGACTTGAAAACAATCTGCGACATTCGCCAGGGATTGTCATCAGTTTCAGAAGATGTGATGTTTGCCAGAGGATTGGAACCTTGTCTGGCACAGGTGACAAGGGTGACAGAGCATCAGATCCCCTTGACTCGTGATGACTAGGATCAACTCAGAGAATAAGAGAATAAGAATAAGCTCTACATCTTGTCCTTGATAAGAATACTAAAATCTTTTATGGAAGAGGTCACAGAAATCACAAAGTTCCCCCACTCAATGTTGCAGGCTGAGAAGAATGATTCTCCATTCAGTGATTCAGGGCCAGAAGAAAAATCACTCAGTGATGTTGGGTCAAAGCAAGAATCACTCAGTGATGTTGGGTCAAAGCAAGAATCACTCAGTGATGTTGGGTCAAAGCAAGAATCACTCAGTGATGTTGGGTCAAAGCAAGAATCACTCAGTGATGTTGGGTCAAAGCAAGAATCACTCAGTGATGTTGGGTCAAAGTAAGAATCACTCAGTGATGTTGGGTCAAAGCAAGAATCACTCAGTGATGTTGGGTCAAAGCAAGAATCACTCAGTGATGTTGGGTCAAAGCAAGAATCACTCAGTGATGTTGGGTCAAAGCAAGAATCACTCAGTGATGTTGGGTCAAAGCAAGAATCTCTCAGTGATGTTGGGTCAAGACAGGAATCACTCAGGGATGTTGGGTCAAAGCAAGAATCACTCAGTGATGTTGGGTCAAAGCAAGAATCACTCGGTGATGTTGGGTCAAAGCAAGAATCACTCAGTGATGTTGGGTCAAAGCAAGAATCACTCAGTGATGTTGGGTCAAAGCAAGAATCACTCAGTGATGTTGGGTCAAAGCAAGAATCACTCGGTGATGTTGGGTCAAAGCAAGAATCACTCGGTGATGTTGGGTCAAAGCAAGAATCACTCGGTGATGTTGGGTCAAAGCAAGAATCACTCGGTGATGTTGGGTCAAAGCAAGAATCCCTCAGTGATGTTGGGTCAAGACAGGAATCACTCACTCAGTGATGCAATCAGAAAAGTTGATCGCTATCAATCATGTTGGGTCTGAAGAAAGGTCACTTGCCCAGAGACGCCACAGGAAAAGTTGTCCACTTGGGAATACAACATCAGAAGAAAAATGTACACGGGATAAAAACACAGCTTCACTTTCTTGAAGGAATGGAGGTTCAGAAAAAATATTAGGATGGCAGACTGTTCCATAAAATAGTTATGGAATGGGAAAAGTCATTCCAATACAGAGTTTTATACATGGGTAAAGAACATGAATACAACAGCCATGAATACGTATTACTTTGTTGAGTTGTTTAGAGTTGGAATTTAGTAAGCAAAGGTAGTTATGACTGTATCTAAGTCACGTCATGCACTTAGATACAGGCAGCTAACTGGAGGCTTTTCAATGCATCTCATGCAGTCATTTGTTACCAATACGGTGTCTTGTCAGGTCTTCAGAGATACATATCTATCAATTTTATGTCTGCCTGTTGATGCATATATATATATATATATATATATATATATATATATATATATATATATATATATATATATATATATATATATATATATATATATATATATATATTTTTCTTGATGCTTCTATATTGGAGCGCATTCTTGAGGTGGGTAGAATATAGTTGTGCATTAATTGGCTGTTGATTGCTGGTGTTGACTTCTTAATGTGTAGTGCCTCGCAAACGTTAAGCCGTCTGCTATCTGCTATATATATATATATATAGTCTGCTGCTGCTATCTATATATATATATATATATATATATATATATATATATATATATATATATATATATATATATATATATATATATATAATGGGCTACGTCAGTTCCTCACTGGGGTAAAAAAGGTCTTGACAACCGGACTTTCTGTCTCATTCGTTTCTCTGAGTCGAGTATCGTCTTAAAACTGTGTGTGTATGACACACTTAAAGTTCACATGTGCATATAGTTTTATACTGGAGTACTCCTCCAAGTAGTGATGCTTGTACTCCCAGCTAACAAAACGTGTAGCTATAACGTTTAATTAACGTAAGATCAACGTGGGTTAGCTTACTTCTCGTTTAGTATTAACTCCCAAACCCCATTAAACGTATTAATTTTTAGCCTTTTTTATGTAGTTTTAACGTTTTAGTGATTTTATATAAATTACTATATATATATACCTACGATACCCCCACCGTATTGTATTTCAAGTGTGTGTTATATAAATACAAATTATAATTATATTCGAATAGCTACAGATGACAACATACAACACTTAGAGTATGTTGCAATTATTATCATTAATAATAATTATATTATTATTATTATTTATTGTATTAATTGTATTAACGTTGATTCAGTGTTTCATCATTGTTGATTCAATGTTGCATCAACAACATTTGCATGACTTTGTTCTGGAATAGAGGTTCCAATACCTCCAGAAATATTCAGGTCTATTCAATACATTTGGCGTCGCCAAACAGCTTTCTGAGCCCCACACGTTAACGAATCTCAGTGAGGTGGGACCAAAGAGCCAGAGCTCAACCCTCACAAGCACAACTAGGTGAGTACTAAGCTGGGTACTGGTTCCCGCCGTCTAAATCAAGACACGTGTTACTATTTTCAAGGTCCACCTTCGGTCAATGACTTCAGTTCTTCCAAGATGCAGCCCATAATAGTCAGCTATAACTCCCAGGTAACCAATTACTGTCTGGGGGGAAACCTTCCATGTAAATACCTCAAGGTGACTACTACATTTTTTTTCTGCCTCGTATTTTTTTTTCTGGAAATTGATAAAGTAAAATTCAATCGCCTCTCGGCTGCCTGAAATGCTTCTTGTGTGATGTGTCCAGCTTGCTAAACGGGGCCTTTTCTCTCTCTCTGTTCCAGCACTTGTCTCTATGTGGTATTTCCCTTCCTCTATGTTGCAGATATTTTCTCCTTGATGCAGTCGTTTTCTTCTGTGTTGCAGCTCCTTTTCTCTATGTTGCAACCTGTCTTGCAACCATTTGTGTTCCTCTTGCAACCTCATTGTGTTTCAAGACTTTCCATCCCTGTTATTGCTTTATCAACCACCCCATTCCTTTTCTCCTTTCCCTCCATCACCCATTCCTCTCCTCCTTCCCCCCCCCCCGCCCTTCCTCTCCTCCCCTCCCCCTTCCTCTACCCCCCCCCCTCCTGAAGTGCTCCCTTCCTAATTTAATCGATTTCAGCATTATCTCGTCATTCGTGCGGCGGGTCTCCATCTATTATGAAGTGCCCTTCGGAACTTTCTCCCGACTTGGGTTTTTATTTGGGTGTAGTGAGTGCTTGGAGTGACTCGCTCCTGCGGAGGTCGAGAGTGAAGGGACGGGAAGGGGGGGGGGGAAGGGGAGTCGTAAAGTGGACGGGTGGATTGTAGAGTGTGTGTGTATTCCCCTAGTTGCATTCACCTAGTTGTGCTTGCGGGGGGTTGAGCTTTGCTCTTTCGGCCCGCCTCTCAACTGTCAATCAACTGTTACTAACTACAATTTTTTGTTCTTTCCCACACACACACATACACATACACACACCCCTGGAAGCAGCTCCGTAACAGCTGTCTAACTCCCAGGTACCTATTTACTGCTAGGTAACAGGGGCATTCATGGTGAAAGAAACTTTGCCCATTTGTTTCTGCCTGGTCCGGGAATGGAACCCGGGCCACAGAATTACGAGTTCTGCGCGCTGTCCACTCAGCTACGTGGACAGGAGTCGTAGAGTAGATTGACTTGTAGATGGCGTATACAACATCATATTTCCCTTTTATTCAATTTTGCATCAATATTTAATAAAGAAATTGTACGGCAATGCAAAATACTTCTTTGAGTTCATATAAAATATTATTTTTTAATGTTACGGAAAACAAATATAATTGTCGATGGTATAATACATCTCAATATTACACCGAACATTTCTTTGTACACTAAACGTGGCTCTATTGCACCGAACATTGCTCTTTGGCGCTGAATATGGCTACTTGGCCTACTATGCAAGGCCCGATTTGCCTAACTAGCCAAGTTTTCCTGAATTTATATATTTTTTGCAATTTTTGTCTTATGAAATGATAAATCTGTCCTTTTCATTATGTATAAGTTAATTTGTTTAAATTTGAGTTAAAACTAACGTAGATATATGAGCGAACCTAACCAACCCTACCTAACCTAACCTAACCTAACTAACCTAACCAACCCTACCTAACCTAACCTAACCTACCTAACCTAACTTAACCTAACATAACTATGTCAATAATTTATGTTTATAATATAATAAAATAATAATAATTCAAATAAACCAATTGGAAACAATTGGTTGAAAATGAAGAAAATCACTCGGCCTATTAGGCAAATCGGGTCTTGCATAGTAGGCCGAGAAGTGCATTCTGGCTACTAGGTACGACGTATATATATATATATATATATATATATATATATATATATATATATATATATATATATATATATATATATATATATATACATACATACAAGCTTCCTCTCATGGAAGCTTGTATTTGTCATTCAATGATGGTGTAGAAGCCACCGTCAAGTCCAACCACTTGGACTGGACGGCAGAGCGACGGTCTCGCTTCACGCAGGTCGTCGTTCAATCCCCGACCGTCCTCAAGTGGTTGGGCACCATTTCTTCTCCCCCCCTCCCCCCCGGTCCCATCCCAAATCCTTATCCTGACCCCCTTCCAAGTGCTATATAGTCGTAATGGCATGGCGCTTTCCCCCCTGATAGTTCCCCTTCCCTTCTTCTCACGGACCTACACACACACCATCTACCATTGCTTATATATACTCATGTTATTATACCGCTGGCTGTTGTTTGTTGTAATAGATTTAGCTACTCAGAACGAAATGTCCATGTAGCACGGGCTATGGTGAGCCCGTAAGAAATGGTGCTGGCAATATGTTCTATAACCTCTATACCGCTTGCTGGTGTCAGGAGCGGTGAGCCCAGCATGTGTGGTGCGGGGCGGCCTGCTGCCCCGACTGTGGGCTGAGGGCCGGACTGTCAGCACGCTTCTCTACCACCACAACCACAGCGCAACCATCTTCAACCACATTAACTTCGTCCTCGTCTACACCAACGTCACCAAGGACGTTCTGAACAAGGTGGGATGTGTGAACATGGGCGCCGTTGTTCAGCTTGTGGTGTGTGTATAAGCTTTCTGTGTTTCTGTTTTCTTAGTGTTAGTATTAAGAACACCAATCACGTTGCTCAAATTCATGGTAAAGCCACTTGTAAGTATTGAAAGATTTATTTGCTACAACGTTTCATTCCTACCTGGAAGATCTTCAGGTAAAGCATGAACGTACGAGGTAGAATTTGGAGTTAAATATACAAGTGAGCAGGTCGAAAGAGTATAAGGGAGCAGTCAAACATAGGGGTAAGGGTATAAGGTCAATCAGACATAGTGTAAGGCGTTGGGAAAAGCTCTGTTACTCTCGGTGGGCCGGGAGACCTCAGTAAACATGTAATACCCACGGATATGTGGCGAGATCTAGGTCTAAGTATCGGCAAGGAAGCGTAATCATTATTCTATATATCTGCGGAACTTTTCTTCCACAAATATACCCATAAAAGTCAACTAACAATAGAAGTGCACAATCTACTCCTGTCTAGCATGGTCTTGTGTATGTGGTCTCTATTACCTGTAAACTCCAAGTCCTATATAGTAGCTTTAACGACAGGAAAACACCTCACAACAGGCCTAAAAAGTCCGATTATTGGCGCCCACTGACTCTTACACCAGAGTCGACCTTGTAATCAATAGAGAAGCAGGCAATAATAACATAAAACACTTAAGGGGTCTATTAGGAAGGTGGAAAGATAATAATGGAGAAAACAATAAACCGATAAGATTATATAGCGCAAGGAAGGGATATGAGGACAAGGAGCTGGGATATTAGGACAAGTAGCTGGGGTATGAGGACAAAGAGCTGGGGTATGAGGACAAGGAGCTGGGATATGAGGACAAGTAGCTGGGGTATGAGGACAAAGAGCTGGGGTATGAGGACAAAGAGCTGGGGTATGAGGACAAGGAGCTGAGATATGAGGACAAGTAGCTGGGGTATGAGGACAAGGAGCTGGAATATGAGAACAAGGAACTGGTATATGGGGACAAAGAGCTTTAATGTTACAAAAATATGGGATATGAGTACAGGGATATAGGATATGAGGATAGAGTAAAAGAACGGTGCCTAACCATATAAGAATCGGACCCCGACCCTATAAAAAGCGAGGCCATCGCTGTACCGACATGAAGGCAACAAATTTGCAAATGAAGCAATGAAGATCGAAATCTTGAATTACGTCTTAGATGTTTGTTTCAGCAACGAGGGCCTAGTTAATTAAATTAAATATGTGTGCATTAGCTGCATTACACAGTGTAGCAGCACTTGCAATGCCTTGCAACAGGAGAGTATAAATAAGTTAACCTAATCAACATGAATGTCTTCAGTGCAACAAATAACCAACTGATTCTTACACATTTTGCGTGTGTTCAGATAGAATTAAGCGTTTAAGCGGTAGAATTAAGATAGAATTAAGCGTTTCTGCCCGAAACGCTTTGCGTAATAGTGGCTTTAGGCATTGTATGTACTAGCTCTATCTATAAATCCATCAACTTTTGTATCTCACCCTGTATGTATGTACTTTACCTGAATAAGTATTTGTATTTGTTTGTTTTTGTAGAAGACCTATGCTTATGTAGTCTTCCATTCCACCTTTATATTCCACAACTATTTGCCTACTCATTTAAATCCTCCCTTGTGGTTTCGAAGACTATCATCACAAGCTCCAAGTTCAACCTTGTTGCATACAAATCCATAAATAAAATAACCAAGTCATTCCTTGAATCTTTCGACACTTCCGCTCTCAATTTGTTTTCTCCGAAGTTGGTGACCACCTCCACGTTTGAGGGTGACCTTTTGTGACCCCTTTTCGTCCTCGAGGTTGACCTTTCTGACCACCTTCAGAGCTAACCTTGGTGCTGACCTCCTCAGGCGAGTGACAGCGGGAAGCTGGAGAGGACACAGTGGCTGGTGCTTCTGGAGAAGGAGGATCAGTTGGCTACCCTCCATGACCACGTCAACGCCCTCGATCTCTTCATTGACTCAACTCTCCTCCTGGCTACCTTCAGGCCTTGCCAGGCTCAGGTAAGTCACGAGGTTGAGTCACTGTGAGGCGAAGTGTTTAAAAGTTATAATATAATGGTCATTGAGATTCAAGAAGATCTATTTTTGGGGTCCAACAAGATTGATTTTTGGGGTCCAAGAAGGTCTATTTTTGTCTCGAAGATGGTCTATTTTGGGGTTCCAAGAAGGTCTATTTTTGGCTCCAGGAAGCTTAAATTGGATCACGTAGGTCAATCTGTGTCAATAGAAGCCAACTTGGGTCACCGTGAGCAAAGGTAACTTATATAAGGTTAAAATATTTGTTCAAGGGTCAAAGTGTATTACCAGGTCTCTTAGTGTCAAGATTAGTTCAATGTTAGTTCATGATGAACCATTGTGGGTCAAGTTAGGAAACTAACACAAATTAAGTTAAATTCAAAAGAAACGACAGAGGCAACGACAGTAGGAGATTAGATAAAGCCGAATCACAACATATAAAACAGTTCGCATATATCAGCCAGCTCACATATATCAGCCAGCTCACATATAACAGCCAGCTCACATATAACAGCCAGCTCACATATATCAGCCAGCTCACATATAACAGCCAGCTCACATCACGCCTATACTGCCTCGGCCGACCAGTATTGACTCGATGGTGACAAGCAGAGCAACGTCACCATTGTGGAGAAACTCAACAACCAAAGCAGAACTTAATTGATCATTCGAGATGAACTAAGCGATGTGCTTCACATGAGATTATAATTGACTCAAATTGTAGCCTGGGTTGTTAGCAGGCGACAAGACGTTTAATGGTAATATTCATTAATACTATTTTTTAAACTGACAAATGTGAAATACAAATTGAAAGAAAACTAATCCCACATGCGAATAGGGACCACATCTGGCCAGCCCCAACAGAGCTGTTCGCTATGACTTGACAACCGAGACTATTGACCAAACAACTGCTACACTAACACGATTATTGACCTAACACGACTATGTACCAAACAGGACTTTTCATCAAACACGATTGTTGACCAAACACGATTGTTGACCAAACACGATTATTGACCAAACACGACTATGTACCAAACACGACTATGTACCAAACACGACTACATACCAAACACGACTATGTACCAAACACGACTATGTACCAAACGTGACTGTTGACTATGCATGGGCTAATGACCCCAGAATATTGACCAAACGTTACAAATGACCCAATTACGGATCTTGAATATTGACCAACGGTGAATACTGATCACCATGACTAATGAACAATCGGAACCCATTAACCAATAACAACCATTAACCACAAGCATTTACTATAACCGAACTTCAACTGACCGGAAATTAATCACCCCCCCCCCTCCCCGACTATTAACCTGCCTAGACTACTTACCAGCCACAAACAACGATCAACCCTGACTAATGACCCGCCACAACCATTACTGATCAGCAATTACAAAACAGTATTGATCAACCACTGAGTATTCACAACAATTGACAAGGGCCCCGTTTTGGTGTGGCAGTACTTACAGAGCGTGTACAGGGTGGGGCCCAAGAGCCGAGTCCTGGTGGAAGGAGGCGGGGAGTGGAGCCCCACAGATGGCTACGTCGGCGTCGCAGCTGGTAACAAATACGACAGACGCCGCAACTTCCAGGGCTATCCGATCGTCGGCGTCGGGGTCAAGGTAGGGCTATCCGATCGTCGGCGTCGGGGTCAAGGTAGGGCTATCCGATCGTCGGCGTCGGGGTCAAGGTAGGGCTATCCGATCGTCGGCGTCGGGGTCAAGGTAGGGCTATCCGATCGTCGGCGTCGGGGTCAAGGTAGGGCTATCCGATCGTCGGCGTCGGGGTCAAGGTAGGGCTATCCGATCGTCGGCGTCGGGGTCAAGGTATGGCTATCCGATCGTCGGCGTCGGGGTTAAGGTTTGATATAACAACAGAAATGACAATTTTATTTATACAAATGACGCCTGAAACATGACAAAGTAAGAGCAGTCTGAGGTAAACAGTTAATGTCACTGAAATGAGTTCACCAATACGGAAGGAGAAGGTTATCTTGAGGTTATCTTGAGATTGGTGAACTAATCTGGTGTTCCTGGCTACAATAGTTTACTGGTTATCTTATGATATGTTCTCATGAGGACATGAGGATCAACCTAACTTAACATAACCCAACTTAACCTGACCTAACCCAATCTAACCTAATTTAACCCAAACTAGTCTAATCCAACCAAAGCTAACCTAACTCAACCTAAGTTAACCTAACCGTACTTAAGCTAACCTAACCCAGTCTAAGCTAACCTTAACCTAATCTAACCTTACGCCTCGTTAAGAAGCATCACCTCCTTAGCAAAAAACATTCTTAATTTTTAAGCGATAGGGGCAGTAAATTATTTCAACAATAATTAATTTCTAAGTGACATCATTAGATTAAGTGGTGACGTCTTCTCCCTCAGGTATTCGACCTGTACACCACCTACCTGCCCAACGGTCGCCTCTCAGGATACATTGGAGACATCCTCAACGTTCTCAAGATGGCTCACAACTTCTCGTGAGTATTCCTTGAGTATGAGTAAAGCCATGAGTCACTCTCTTGTTATAAAAATTACTCAATGAGTATTGAGGAAATCAGTAGGAGTCATGAGGAGTGTTGTTGTTGTTGTTGTTTAAGATTCGCTACTTGGAACAAAAAGTTCCGTGTAGCACGGGCTATGGTGAGCCCGTAGTCATGAGGAAGGTGCTCTGGGTTCTTCCTACGTGTTCTTGGTGAACCCCGCGGTACCCGGGTGCTGTGACCTAAATTGGGTCAAACCCAAAAAAGGTCTTTTTGGGTTAGGAAAGGTCTAACCCATTTCAGGTGTTGGGTCGACTCGGTTCTTGAATCGCTCCCGGTTCCAGGTGATCAGACGCATCAGGTGTAAGGACACGTGCCCAAAACGCCTCGCCCATAGACTAATCGGTTGTAAGCCAACTGCGCTGACCACTGTGCTACGGGTCAGATAGTATAGATATCATAAGATAATATAACATAAGATAATAAGTTATGAGGAAGGAAGAAGACTACCACCTTTATCTACTACCAAGGACTTAGAATATCCTAATCATGGGTAATAGGCTGAAACGAAATCTAGTAACAAGTTAAGACACCAATTATTTGACCAATTTATCAGGTTTTTTCCATCTTCAGAGTGTAATGTACGGCCTTCCTTGTAGCACAACATGGACTCGAATACAATGTGTGAAGACAGACTGACTATGAAGAGAAAAGGCCTAGCCATTACGACTATATAGCACTTGGAAGGGGGGGGGGGCAGGACAAGGGTTTGGGATGGAACGGGGAAAAAAAGGAATGGTGCCCAACCACTTGTGAACGATAGGCTATACATTTTCAGAAATACGAGATGGGCAGAAAAGTTAGAATTAGAAATTAAAGATAGCGCAGACAGAAATAGATCATATGCGAATGATTGATTAATAACAAAACATAAATAAATATATATATATATATATATATATATATATATATATATATATATATATATATATATATATATATATATATATATATATGCACAGCTGATGATCGTATAAGAAAACATTACAGACAAATACAATGTCTAATATGAGCCAAGGTTAAGGGTTGAGGCGAGGAATAAGTCCGCTGCTGACATAAGAGTTATGTCATACAAAGGGAATAGTGAAGACAACACTGCAATGCAGTGCAAGGTTCCATTAGAACCAGAGTGCAAGGCAACATTATATACGTTATAACATGAACCTACACGTTGCAAGCTTACAAACACCACTCTCACACAGGTGAGGGAGGAATCCTAAACTCTCCAACAAGATTTTGACTTCTTTTTCTTAATGTTTGTATAAAATAATGTGTAGGTCTTCATCCCGTGGAAGGATTTTCACCCCCTCACAATGTGGGGTTTGGGTGAGATGAGTTCCACTAACTACATCCTGCTTGGATTGCAGCACTCAACACGTTATGGTTTCACTACCGAGGAATACCAGTTCGATATGGCTCACGATTCTGGCGTCATTATATGAAAAAAACTAAAGTTACGATGGCCTGAAGATGTTACCGTACCACTTAAGAAGTGTCGGATCTCACACCACTGTGGATGGGAGGGGGGGGGGAGGTAATAGGTGACCCCCTCCACCATTAATGGGTGGATGTCACCCCCTATTATGTTTCCATGACTATCACCTATCGGTCGCCATAGCTGAAACCCGTCAAGAATTCGCCACAACCTTATAACTCATTCATCCTAACTACACCATGACTGTTTCCAATCACTCATCGTGAGTATCGTCCATCACTCACCTTAACTCTCACCGATAACTCACAATAACCACTACACATCCCTCACCATAATGACAAAATTCTTCCATTCATTATTCAGCATAATTTCTTTCACCCAATCTCCTCATCATGACTCATCCTCATAACTCGACCTCATGACTCACGCTTATAAGCCAACCATGATATGTTGGTCCCCCTCATTTCTTAACACCTCCATCTCCCTCATAAACACCCAACGTCAACAAACCCCTATGAAAGATAAGAACAAATAGTTATAAATCATTCTACAACACAGTATTCTACAACACAGTATTCTACAATATGGTATTTGAAAAGGTTGTGTTGGTGGTACGGTGGCTTGGGTGGGAGGTTGTGGGTTGGTTGCTGGTGTGCTGCTGGTTGTTGGATCGTCTGGTGCCGTTGGAGAGGTTGGAGAGGCAGAAGGTTGGCCAGTGGGTGCTCGAGGTGGAGTGGGTGGAGAGCTTAGAGAAGCGAGTGGTCACATGGTTGGGATCAACCGTGGTCGTGTGGTTGGGACTGATATGCACCAACCACGGCCTGAGTCGCTACAGGGATCAGCTGGTTGAGCTGGTTCGACTGGCGCAGGTCACGGACCAGAGGCATGAAATGGCCTCCCTTTTGGGGTCCTTTCCGGGGTCTCTTCTGGGGGACCTTCCGCTGCTGGGGAAACTGGTCCCAAAGCTGCAGGTGGTGCGTGATGTCCCCCGACTCCCGCAGGACCCTAGTGGCTGGGTGTCTAGGCTACCTGTGGTCACCACCGTGGCTACCTTCGCCTGCAGGGTAAGACAGGTATGGAACCTCAAGAGGTGGCTGGCGGCAGACATGACGCTCCTGCAGTTTTGGCGGGAAACCGCGGTTGGCATGGCTACGGCCGTTGGCGCTGCCTTAAGGTACATCGCTACCTGTATTAAGGCCGCTATCATAGACGCCGTCGCCAGCCACTTTGTGGATTTAATCTATGCCAGACTTTTACAGAACGTTATAACCGCCGTTGTCGCTAATACTGTGGACGCCATCAAAAGCCCTGTCGGTACCTCGGCTGTGGGCGCCATCATGGGCACCATCGCCTTCAAGCCTATTAAAGTTGTCCTCAGCATTATCACCGAAATGTTTTTCAACCGCGGTTGATAACCAAAGGCGACGCTACAATGTAGGAACTAGGTGCCCCATTGTGGGAGGACCCCAGTGCGAGGAGTGCGATTTAACTTTATGAAAGTGGAAAAATCAACAAAATAATTCCAAGCTATTTAGAAAAAAACAATGTAGATTGGATATTTCGGTCCCATTTTTGTTATTCCCCTTTAATTTCCACAGATCCTGCTTGGGAACGAAATATCCAGTCAATATGAAGACCAAAACCCCACATCAGAAAATGACGTTTCGGTCCGCCCTGGACCCTTAACAAGTCGTGCAATAGAAAGTCTCTTTCTATTGCGAAAGAGCTTTTCTATTTTCATCTTTCTATCGACGAAAACGTCGTCGTTTCTTCATTTTGTGATGTGTGGTTTGGTCATGTTATTGTGAGTCGTCGTCTGCATATCCTATATTTTTTTGCTATTTCCTGAAAGTCCCTCACCAGACTTTGCAGGGTGACTGACAGTTGGTTGGGGGTCATCAGGTTCGAATCGAGTTTGACCCCTACGCCCCCCCCTTTTTTTGCATAAAATGGATAATTATATCATATTCCAATCTCGCTAAATACTAGATTACATCATAACGGTCCATCCAGCATATTATTTTCTGTATAGTAATTAAAGCATAAGTATATTGTTTCATGCAATATACGTATTAAACGAAGACAGAGTAACGAAGAGGGATACAGTGATGAAAGGAAAGTGGTGAAGAGAAGATGAAGGGTGAAGAGTAGGGAAGGTGGTGAAGGGTAGGGAAGGTGGTGAAGGGTAGGGAAGGTGGTGAAGGGTAGGGAAGGTGGTGAAGGGTAGGGACGGTGGTGAAGGGTAGGGACGGTGGTGAAGGGTAGGGAAGGTGGTGAAGGGTAAGGGAAGGTGGTGAAGGGTAAGGGAAGGTGGTGAAGGGTAGGGAAGGTGGTGAAGGGTAGGGAAGGTGGTGAAGGGTAAGGGAAGGTGGTGAAGGGTAAGGGAAGGTGGTGAAGGGTAGGGAAGGTGGTGAAGGGTAGGGAAGGTGGTGAAGGGTAGGGAAGGTGGTGAAGGGTAAGGGAAGGTGGTGAAGGGTAAGGGAAGGTGGTGAAGGGTAAGGGAAGGTGGTGAAGGGTAAGGGAAGGTGGTGAAGGGTAAGGGAAGGTGGTGAAGGGTAAGGGAAGGTGGTGAAGGGTAGGGAAGGTGGTGAAGGGTAAGGGAAGGTGGTGACGGGTAAGGGAAGGTGGTGAAGGGTAAGGGAAGGTGGTGAAGGGTAAGGGAAGGTGGTGAAGGGTAAGGGAAGGTGGTGAAGGGTAAGGGAAGGTGGTGAAGGGTAGGGAAGGTGGTGAAGGGTAAGGGAAGGTGGTGAAGTGTAAGGGAAGGTGGTGAAGGGTAGGGAAGGTGGTGAAGGGTAAGGGAAGGTGGTGAAGGGCAGGGAAGGTGGTGAAGGGTAGGGAAGGTGGTGAAGGGTAGGGACGGTGGTGAAGAGTAGGAAAGAAGGTGAAAGTAGTGATAATGATGCTTTGTAGAAGGGGGTAACCGACGGTGCGAGGTGTAGTGAAGATGATCACAGTGATGCAATCCATATATAATTATAAATGATATACATGTATATATAATGTATGCTAAGTACCTTACCCTTCAGTCATAACTAAAAACAAATAATCACATCAAGTCACTTCACACACACTGAAGTGTTTACGTATTTCCAAACCAAATGAGCCATGATCCATTTATCAGTAATCTATAAGCATGTTGCTTCTCTTCCCAGTACTCTAAGACAAAATACGGACTACAAGAAACTCGGGTCCTGCCGAGAGCTGTTGTTATTTTAGATTTACCTACTCAGAACGAAATGTCCATGTAGCACGGGCTATGGTGAGCCCGTAAAGGCCGATCGAGAGCTTTTACAAGGTAATAATCCATTCGCGTTATTGGAACGAGGCTTTTCTGTAGGTTTTGTAAGCAGAGAAAGGGTTAAGTGTCGTCATGAATATGCTCGTACAGTTGGCAGTAATTCAAAGTGGACAAACGGCCCCTCCTCATAAACACAGCCCGTCCTCATAAACACAGCCCGTCCTCATAAACACAGCCCGTCCTCATAAACACAGCCCGTCCTCATAAACACAGCCCGTCCTCATAAACACAGCCCTTCCTCATAAACACAGCCCGTCCTCATTAGTATATCACGTCATTGTGATTTCTTTATGTTCTGAAAATTGGCGTTTGGTTGAGAACTCTATTACCCACACGCCAGAGTGCAGGCGGGCTATTTGTCAAATCTACTTGTGGCACCAGCTGAGGCCTCCAGACTCCCCTAATGGGTTCAGTAGAGTTCCGGGTTGAATAGCTATATTTAACCTGTCGTGGTGGCTGAGTGGGGGTTAAGGCACGCGTCTGATGTTCACTAGAACGTTGGTTCAAATCCCCCTTAATGCTCCAACTTATTTTTTCATTGACATATCTCGCCATTATGGTTTCTATGCGTACTGTTAGTGGCCCCTTGATGGTAGCCGGTATACACTACTAGTAGGCATCCATCAGTCTCAGGAGACTATGGAGTTGCGCTCTGGTTGTCGGTCTGGAGTGACCTCTCCAGGATGCAAAGCCAGGGTAGGTTGATATGGAGGAGAAGCTGTTACCCATGCAGCAGGTCCCCCCTCCTCTTTGTTACTGTCTAGTGACACTTCATAGCTAGTGTCCTCTGCCACCACATCCCGTGAACTCTGATTTTTGACAGGTTGAGCTACAGTATCCTGAAGGGCTACGCCTACGGGAGTTTAGTGAATGGGTCGAGCAACAAGTGGACGGGGATGGTCGGGGAGCTGCAGCAGGGCCGAGCAGACCTCACCGTCTCAGAGCTCTCCATAACAAAGGAGCGTAATGATGTCGTCACCTACACCCAACCCGTCTTTGTCGTTAGGTAATGGCATGTTCGTGGCACCACACCCTAGTACACTGGCACCACACCCTAGTACACTGGCACCACACCCTAGTACACTGGCACCACTACTGGCACCACTCCTGGTACACTGGCATACTAACATTGTCATTAATGGCACACTCACTGTCATCACTAAATTGCAAATTCGAACACTTTTTCATTGTGAAGAAATAAGGATTATAGATGCAGATGGAAAGAACAGGTTCTTTTCTGTCTATAATATTATTTAAAAATGTCTCAACTCGGTCCTTTTTGACAACCTGCTGCAACACATAAACATGCAGCAGCAAAAGGAACAACATTAAGTTACTTTATCAACTAACAAAAACCGGTTCTCACTGTTGTCAGTACGTAGTGGGGCCTTCCTCTGGTAGCCAGGTTAGAGGAGCAATGGTCAGGATGTCATATCTGTACAGAAACTAATTGATAACACTAGGAATTAGGACGATAAAGGTGCCACCTCCAGGGGTTCCATAAACAGGTATGCACGAACTACCCAAACTAGAAAGGCCATAGGCATGCAAATTATGAGAGCAGAGAAGCGTGTTATTGTAAGATTAGTGAAGTTGTATCGATGACTATTTAGTCTTTTGCAGAGTACCTGCTTGAGGAATCTTTTGAACTCTTGGGGGGAAGGGACCTTAGTAAATAATTTCAATCTATAAGGGGCAGATTCCTGTTTTTTTTAATCCATAAGTTCTTGATTCTTCTGATCCTTCGACCGAGTGTCTCAAGTGGGCGCTGTTGATGGCATCAAGATGTTTGACAGACTTGACAAAGTTCCTGACAATTAATGATCGTATGCTGCGTATATCCGAGGCAATGGGACGTAGCTCGATCTTTTTTTCTATTCACAGAGCCTTGACTACTATTGTATGAGACGATGTCTGAAAGTCGTTCGCTTGGGTTAAGAATTTTAAGATATTCCTAGCATTTGTCGCTGAAATTGTGTACCCCGGTGTTTAAGCTTGGCCACTGTGATATAGTGGCCAAGCTTGAACACAATACTAACACAGTAACAATATAGATCCATCATGTGTAGTTGCATGTGAGGGAGTTAGGTGTACCGACCATGTTGATCCCTAGCCTCTGGTCTCTGGTTAAGTTTCCAAGGCTGCCTTTGGGTGAGATGGGGACTTACTGGATCAGGAAAAGCGGCAGTTTAGATATTTATTGAATCCCTTGGTGATATCTGTGAACACACGTGGGTTGCTTGCGGGCGACAAGGCCGGTGTTATGGCAGGTGTGTTGCATGCTGGTGGCGAGTATATTAGGACAGTCTCCGTGCCGGAAAGGAGAGAGTTACAGGTGATGAAAGAAAACGGATAGAAAGAGAGAATGCGCTTGTTAAAATGTATTATTGGAGAGACTCGTGTATTCGAAATATAGAGGCATGAAAAATGATGCAAATGGAAATCTTAGATTTTAAACAGATATATAAAAAATGAACATAATTCTAACCCAGTCCTTTCTGCTCCAGCCGCAGACTGTACGTGTCGACCCCACAGGACTTCAGGAAGAAGCTGCTGGCCTACGTAGACCCGATGGACAAAGTTGTGTATGTGTGTGTGTTCGTTGCTATGTCCGTCATGGCCTTGGGCCTGAATTTCGTCGAGCGTCTTCGTCTGTATTTCCTTCCATCGGAAGAGGAGCCGGTGAGCCTGTCGGTGGCCGCGTGGAGCATGGTGTCGGCCCTCCTGCAGCAAGGTCGGTGCCTCCTGCTCCCCCTCCTTCACAGCTCTTAAACATACTTCTGCTGTTGACATTGTATCTTTTATGGCTGCAAGTGTTGATATGAACTTATCTACTGTTTTGTTGATATCTTTCAGTACTTTTTCTCGTCTACTAAATATTCCTGTTCACTGTTATTCCCAGCGTGTACCTGCCATCCAATAGGGAACCCCACCATCACTATTCTTGAATTCCCGTGTTCCTTAACCCAACAGACGGCCTTGTTCTCTGCAGGCTACGACCCAACACCATCCAGCACAGCGGCACGCATCATCTTCTGGGTTGGGTTCGTGGTGTCGCTGATCGTGTACACAGCGTACTCAGCCACGTTGATGGCCCACCTGGCCGTCGAGAAGCCTGCTCCCCTTCCGTTCTCTAACCTCCGTCAGTTGTCACGCCAGACGCGCTGGGATGCCGGCCCCAACAACAACGATCTCTTCCAAGTTACAGCTTCAGTAAGTAGACCCAATGGTACACTTTCAAGCCCCTTGTAACTCAACGAACACAATGCTAATACTGTTGCAAGATCTCTTCAGCATCAGTATGTGTGTACAGCATTTTGCATGTGTCTAGACGTGATTACGAGAGGGATATCTGAGCATCTTTTAGCATTTCCTGGGTGTTCTACGTGGTGTTTCAAGGTCTTCGGTTGACCAGGGTTCTGAGAACCAGTTAAACCTTCCATTCCGATACCTACATTACAAATGTATATATATTGTTATCGATCTCAAAAGTCGGACTATTAAATTCAGGAAATGGTTTTAGATTCAATTTAGTCTTCCTTTCATAACCCAACACATTAAAGAAAACGTCTCATGGTGCAGCAAACATGTGTGGGGTCGCAGACGGAGGAGTGCCGTGTGATGCAGGACGTGTGGAACAAGGTGGTACTTCGCAGTCCTGGCAACATCGTCAACTCCTACAACGAAGGACTTCAGAAGGTCCTCAAAGGTAAGCCTATGGCGAATACGTAAGTGAGATATTGTCAATAAATACCCATTTTGAAGCTCAAATGCTTTAATTAAATCCAAATTCAAAATCCGCCAACAAAAAATAATCGAAATCGGCCAACAAGAAAACCCACCCAGCAGAGTATCCCATTCATCTACCAGTTTCTACAGCTATATATGGTTCTTTGGCGTACTTAGCTAAATATTTGTCTTATGTTCCCCACATTTCCCTAAGGCTCATTAATACATAAATAATAATAATGTCTCATTAATTCTTTCTCCAAGATCACTCTTAGCTCTTTTTTTGTACTACTCTGCCATGGATATCTCAAAAGTTGCCATCTATTATTTCACTTTTGTGAGATACCGTCCTCTTTCACCACTTAATCCTACCTTACACAACATCAACATGTGAGAAGACAAACCACTAGATATCCTAGCGACCTCCATGTCTTTTTTTCGGTAGGTAAATATGTCTTCATTGGCGTCGATGTCAACACCAACTATTACATTCGGAACCTGCCGTCCAAAGACGCGTGTCGGGTCAAGGAGCTGCCTGGGCAGTACATCACTGGAGGCATCGCTATCGGTCTCCAGAAGAGATCTCCCTTCAGGGGCGTCTTCGACTACAGGTGCGTCTCTTGCACGTGACGATCCCTCACACTGGATAACAGATCACTGTCTTAAAAACTGCAAGATTTTCAAGTAATGAGCCCGTGTAAGCTGGGCTTTCCGTTACCAGGTGAAAATGAAGTATGCAAATCACCCACTTGTGCTTGCATTGTTTAATGTATCACCCAGGCATGTGATAGAAATTTGTATTTTACGTTAATAGACTCTTAATCAGATTTTTCTTATTGTAAGTGATTGGGCTCCTTCAAAATGAGCTCTCTTAGTATGAGAACACTTTCAAATACAATATTTTCGCATAGTAATTACCATACCACAACGTTTGCGCTGACCATCGCATTGTTTAATCTTTTGTAGTAACCAGCTGGTCTCATTCTTATCTCTCACACACACACACACGCCCGTGCGAGTCAGTCCAAAGGGCCCCAGTTCAATTCGCGGACGAGGCAAAAACAAATGGCCAGAGTTTCTTTCGCCTAATGCCTCGATCCTGCTGGCAAATAGTAAATACACACACACACACACATTATTCTTTTTAGTAAATACTTACACGATTGAAACAAATGAGAAGGCGATGAATTACAAAACCGTCAATGGTTTCAAAGCGTCATATGACAAAAAACACAGAATACTGAGTGGACGGAACACCACAAGCGTAGCTCTTAACCTATAACTACATTTAGGTAATTACAATGAGGTAATTAAACACACACACACACCAATGATAAACATGTTAATGATCCATGCATCTCTCCCCCTGGTGCGGTGATCAGCCTGCAGAGGATGAAGGAGATAGGTGTGATGAAACGCCTGGTGGCGACCTGGCTGAAGGTGGGGCGCTCCTGCAGCCTCCAGACCACCGTCAACGCCAGCCTCACAGACCTCGCCGCGGTCTTCATCCTTCTGTTCATGGGAATATCCGCCAGCCTACTGGTCCTTGGGGGAGAAATCGTGGTAAGACTTCTGATACTTTATTGCCACGAGCGGTATTAGAAACGCCTTTTGACCAGAGCTTGTTCGTTATATTTCATGGAATCATGGCTAGCTAGTAGGCATCCATCAGTCTCAGGAGACTATGGAGTTGCGCTCTGGTTGTCGGTCTGGAGTGGCCCCAGCAGGGCGCAAAGCCAGGGTAGGTTGATACGGGGGAGAAGCTGTTACCCAGGCAGCATGGCTATAGGATATATATATATGTTGAGTATATTGGGAACATTTGCTGGTTTCCTTTCAAAACATATAAATCTTTCGCCTTTTGCTTTTCATTGTTAACTTTGACATAATTCTAGCCTTTCTCAAGATAAATTATAAAAAAGTCACGCGTCGAACACTTACTCAAGTCAACATTGAAATTAGTTTTTGATTTGCATTTAATAGAAACTTTCTGGCAGGTTTCCCGGTCCAAGAAAAGGCAGCCAGCGCACGATGACACATGAAGAGGAATAACCCTTAACCCCTCAGAGTCGACGCCAACATTAATACAAGTCGAATTAATAATTATAGTTCAGTACTACTGAATATACTTGTTAATGTCCAACCTACTAGTCTGTCGTTGTTTGTTCGTGCCTAAAGGCCATTTATTGCAACAAATAACTCTTAATACACATTTCAACAGACAAGGCTCCGTTTGTTTGGGCTAGGCTTAAGTTGTGTTTAAGCTGCGTTTGAAATGCATCTAGAGACTCTAGACTGTGCTTTAAATATTATTGAACTTACTTAACATTAGACAAAATCAGATTTGCCCTACTTAAATGTGGTTGGATGTTTATTTGTGAAACACTATAAACATATACTAAATTCCATGATCAGAGTCATCCCAACAAAAAAAAACTGGATTTTTTTAAGAATTGCAGAATATTTTCAGCTGAAAATACTGAACACTATGAGGCATCTACACATCGATGTTTAAGCCAGCCATTCGCAGTCACCAGCTCTCACATCTGGTGACTCAATGTTTACTTGTACTAATCATTCAGCCTTTACAAACAACTCTTATTCGGACCACTGAAGGAAATGAATAGAGTCTGAACCCGTGCGAGGTCTGAACCCGTGCAAGGTCTGAAACCGTTCAAGACCTGAAAACGCACAAGACTTGAAGCGGTAATTAACACGGATCTACTCTCTAACAACTCATGTTGCTGTGTTTTGTGACACATCACAAACAGCTTCACAGAAAAGCTTCATCCTGGGCAACACAACTGACTCTGTAATATTAGTACATAATAACAACACTACATCATTAACACCTTTCAACTGCTGTAACTAACGCTGGAAAGTTACAGTGAACTCCTTCTCTCAACTTTATCATTCCTTGCAACGTATGTATTTGATAACTTATATTGATTTGTGATTTGCAATCAAGACTTAAGTGTTGTACAAGTTTGTAATGTGTTAATAAATGTATACATGGCAAAATATTTGGTTAACTTCTACATACCACCAGCGGGAACTGTGATCCCATTCTGTGGTGTGTCAAGGGTGATGGATCTTATTCACCATGCTGTCCCATCTACAGCCCTGTCCCCAGTTACATCGTCAACCCCTATTCCGATCTCTAAATCTATCCCTATCCTCATCTCATAAATCCTCCAACCCTAATCCCATTCCCAAACTACGACGTCGTAGCAACCAATTCTACTCAATAATATATATCCTTTTACTTTGTAGATGAAGTTCAAATTTAAACTCAAAAACTTTATTCATAAATGTTTGTACATTCATAGTCGAGTTAGTCGACACAAATTTACAGTAAATTATTTACCTAGGAGAAAATCATGATAATAATACAACATGTAATCACTTTAATTATATATACTCTAAGATTTAGATTTAGAAGCTGTATTTATCAATTATTTAAAAAAAAATCATCACAGTTTTGGGATTTTGATTCAGAAACTATTCGTAAAGAACTTATACAAATCATTACAATACTGGCTGAAGTAAACAGGTGTACAGCAGATTATATAATATTTACATTTTTGGAATAAAGTAACACTTAGCTTACAATTTAAAAGGTGATATATATTGGAATAAGAAGGTGTACTTTATTCTTAGTACTGCTAACTCACCGACTCACACTAAAGTTGTGATAATGGGCGGGGAGGATTGACTTGGTGCCAATTCTTAACTGTAGCCTCTGTTCATCCAGCAGTGAATGGGTACCTGGGTGTTAATAATAACAATTTGGTAGTTAAACGATTTGGCGGGTCGTATTCCGGGGAAAAAGTTTGGATTAAGGACTTTTCCGAATCGCTATGCGTTCTAGTGGCTTTACAAGAATGAAAGAACTCTTGTATATAAAAAAATATATTATATATATATTATATAAGTTCCAGGGCATCGTTGATTTTCTCACTGGGGTTAATTGAAACAACTTTGGCCCCTAAAGCTCAACAAGTGTATTTAACTGTTTGTTTTTAACAGAATCTAACATTCTGTTTGTAACTCATCTTGTCTGAATGTACTTTTTACCTGAATATGCATTTATTTATTTATTTCTAATAGTTCTAAAGCTGTACTAACGAGTCCTAAAGCTGTAAAAGTGAGCTGTCGTCACACTGCCAGGACAACCAGCTTGTACACACAATTCTCCACAATAAATATAGCCCCCCTCGAAAATTATGAACACCTCCCACACCCTGGGAGCGCTGGAAACCTGAAATATATATAACAGTCTCCGTGGTGTAGTGGTAAGACACTCGCCTGGCGTTCCGCGAGCGCTATGTCATGGGTTCGTATCCTGGCCGGGGAGGATTTACTGGGCGCAATTCCTTAACTTGTAGCCTCTGTTTAACGCAACAGTAAAATGTATACTTGGTTATAACAACGATTCTTCGCGGCAGAGGATCGTATTCCAGGGACCTGCCCGAAACGCTACGCGTACTAGTGGCTGTACAAGAATGTAACAACTCTTGTATATATCTCTCTAAAAAAAAATAGACTTATGGAAACAGAAAGAAATAGGAACGTACCTGTGGTGTTGTATGTTGCTATGGATGACCTTGGTAGTGGCGTTGATGTAAAGCCACTGCTTGGTTACTGACCTTTATACTTATAAGCCCCGTGGCGACGTTTGACTTGGTGCCAATCCTTAACTGAAGCCTCAGTTCACGCAGCAGTGAATGGGTAACAGGACTAGGGTAAATTCACAGTGTATCAACACAGAGGAGCAGGGTGCACATCTCGGTGAACATATCCTTCACTTCAACACTTTAACATCACTGTCACTAAGCACTATGGCTTCTTATGCAGTATTGGTAACATTATTTAAGCACTTTATATATTTCCATTCAACTCGTCACGGAACACCATCGCTCACCACGGCTAACGACTCAATGACCTGACCCGCGGAAGTAGTCCAGCATTAAAACATTCGCCAAACGCTCGTTTATCCAGCCAGCAAATCCCGGGTTTATGCAACCCGTCCTCGACTCAAGTCCATTACATCCAGCGGTCGAACCCAAAGACGCATTCATAAATGTTAACATGCTGTTTATTCAAAATGATATTTTTCTCAAATATAAATTAATATTATAATATATATGTTGTGCATATATAGGCATAAGTTAGGTTAGATATTTAGGTTCAGTTGCCGATTATTTGTATTTATAGTACGTGAGTGAAGCATTTACAGTGGTGGAGTTCGAACAAAAGTCGGCAGTGAAGCACTTGTTCCGGAAGTGTTCAAACGAAATCAGTTGCAGTCGTGTGTAAACCGTTTTTCATTCATAAACAGGGGGTTTGGCGGGTGCATGGAACAGCCCGTCCTCCAAACAAAGATCCAAAAGTGATTCCATCCACCCGCCAAACCCCCTGTTTATGAATCAAAAGCGGTTTACACACGACTCACAACTGCTGACGTTCGAACATATCCGGAACAAGTGTTTCACTGACGAATTTTGTTCGAATCACAACGCTATAAATGCTTCACCCACGTACTACAAATACAAATAATCGCCAACAGAACCTAAACACCTAACCTAACCTATGCCTATATATGCACAATATGCTAATATATTATAATATTAATTTATACTTGAGAAAATTCCCGTTTTGAATGAACAGCATATTACAATTTATGAATGCGTCTGTGGAGTCGACCGCTGAATGTAATGGACTTGAGCCGAGGACGGGTTGCATAAACAGGGGGTTTGGCGGGTGCATGGAATCAGTTTTTGGGTCTTTGTTTGGAGAACGGGCTGGTGTAAACCGTTTTAATTCATAAACAAGTTGTTTGACTGCTGGATTAACAAGCATTTGGCCTTTGTTTATAAAGACGGGCTGCCCGTCCTGATGACTTTATTGTTAATTGTTATTTTGCGTTTCAATGTCTAACAGCCTGGTTGTTGTTGTTGTTGTTGTTGTTAAAGATTCGCTACCTGGAGCAAAGTTCCAAGTAGCACGGGCTATGGTGAGCCCGTAGTGCCTTCTTACAGCCTGGTTATTTTAAAAAATATATAGACTACCTACACCCCTGATTTTTCAATGATTTACCTGGTAAATCACCAGGTAAATCAGAGTGAGTGATTTACTCACTCTGGTTCAAACGTCTCAAAGAAGTTGACCACCATTTAACGAGTTCTAGACAATCTGTTCACTTCAGAAAGTTAAGCGAGTCCTAGCAGCGTATGGGGACAAATTAATGGATGACCAATCAAGAGGATTTTCTTCTAGTTATTATGTAGTTTGTTTTAACTCATGTGGATATAGGAACAGACGACTACTATTGTCAGTAGGCACAGCTCTCCCTTCCCATCTCTCATCCTAAGCTTTACAAAAGAATAGTTTTCCCCCTGGAACACGATTTGCCAATCTCTTTACACCCAAGTTCCCAATTACTGCTGTGGTGAACAAGGACGAACAGAAATGGTTAATTCTCAATCAACTCTTCCTATACAATACTTGAACTCTGCTGAAATCACTCGCGCCAGTTACAGCCCCACTCATGTGCCAGGTAAGTCCACTACGGGGTCACCATAGCCCGTGTTACTTGGATTTTTTTGCTCCGAGTAGCTGAATCTAAAACAACAACATCACTCACGCCACCACTACTGTATGGCGGTATGTTCCTTCCCAGTATGGCAGACACTCCCCACTAAATTGGACCAGAGTTAAACAAAACTGTGTACTGCTCACTATATACACCAAGAGAAGCAAAAAAAACTCTCGCTGAACATATGCCTAGTATGTTCCTATTATATTTAAGGCAACAAGTAATTCGAGTACTTACAAAAAATATCCAATCAGAAAAATTGATCGTCTACATTTGATGCGCAACTAAAATTCTGAAACCATAGAAAACGTATACATCCATAACCACAAACTGTCATATATAAGACTCCTACCCATTAATACCTTACGTTTATTCCTAACAATCACCACCAACCACTCTCACTCTTTTCCTTTAATTGGTGACAATTAAAATACTTCATAATTTAACTTCCCTCTCGACTCATCACATTAAAACAGAAAAAATCAAAACAATACCTTCACTCATACCAAACACAGACCCTTTCACTCCTACGAATCTATGTACTAACTTACCAAATAGCTTCAAGGTCAAGAAGCCACAATGTAGCTTATTTTTCACTTATTGGGAAAAAAATTAAAATGAATTAAATCCATGAAATTCCCTCTCCATCATTGTCATAAATGACAAGTGAGTATTCAAGTGGGTATTCAACAGCAAAAAAAAATCCTGAAGAATAATGGTGGAACACTTGAGAAGTTGCTGACTTCTTGTCCGATGCCACTAGAAAATGGTGGTCCTCTGGTAAACTATGTCATACTAAATATATTAAAGTTTCCCCAAAAACGTTAACCAAAGAAAATGAAAATGTTTTGACTCCTGCTCGCAAGCGAGCATTTGACAGTCAAAACAACAACTCTCCTCATAGTCGATCGCCGTCGCCCCTAAATCAACAACGACACTCCTCGGGGGGCATCCGATCCCTTGATGGTCGTTGCCCCCTCAACTAACAACAACACACTCCTTGATAATTTAATAATTGCACTATTTTACCATGATTCCTGGTTCAACCTTGACTGTGCGGGCGCCTGACTTGCGCTCCGTCTAAGGGTTGCTGGTTAACGTTTTGCTTTTCCTGCCCCACACGTAACCCAATTCAACTGTCCGGATGTTTGCGACGCCTGGTGTCTATATCGCCACGGGGCCGTTGATAAATTTTTTAGCGTTTTCCGGTTTTCACCTCGGGCGTTGAGCCGGCTTGGCCGAGAGGTGCATTGGTCTGGCGGGCTGTAGCGAGTATATTATTGGGATAATCTACTCGGTACAGACGTGTAGCGAGTAGATTATCCCAATAATATACTCGCTACAGGCCCTTGGAGGCTCCTGTGTTCTCTCTGGACATGTAGGCTGCCTGCCTCTCACTCTGCCAGGGTTGTTATTTTGCATGTGGTGT